GGCGGAACAAGCCCTAAATATTCAAGAGAAAAAATAGACCGAAAAAAAAGTTGTGTCCACAACTTTGCGCGCACAGCGATGTGCCTCCCTGCCTGTTGAGTACGTCCACTGCTGAACCACGCACACCCGGATGAGAGCCGTTGATGGAGAAGACACCCAAGAAGACAAAACATGAATCGATGGTCTAGAGGACGAGAGCTGGATAGTTTTGTACTCACGTCTCCTCTCAACCAGCCGACTTTTTGCCGTTCGGAAGCGCTGACGCACATTTTGGTCTCTTTTCGACACCGAGAACATTTTTTCTCGCACCTCCGGAGCGCTATCGCCACATATTGGCGGGCACAGCATCAGCTCAGTGCATCAAGGGTTGTGGGGGGCCCTTTGCGAGCTGCTACATTCAGTTTCCATGACGCATTTGTCGTTTGTCTGTCACAAATCGTTTGGTAGCAGTAGACCACGATTCTCGCCGCACTTCTGATGCATCCCGAGAAAACCACACGATAAGACATTTTTGCGCATAAAAACGGTACTCAAATGTTCCTCTGGCAGATATTCGCGCGCAAATGTTTGACAACATTTTAATATTTATTTCCAACATTTTGAAACCATAAACATGGGTCTCAGCCGTTAAAAAAGAAAGTCATCGGTGTTTCTTCATCTTGGAGAGCAGATCCGGTCATAGTTTTGAGCAGCACCCACAAGATGTTGTGCATCTCGTGAACAAAAAAATTGTGGCAGCTGATATGAACACCTATTATGTAGGTAAATGGGCATTGAATCTCTCCAGACGAATCTCAAAAGGTGAAGGCCACCATCACAGGATGGGGACGAGGGGGTCTAAGGGAGGATAAACGTGTCCCCTACGTGGTGAAACTGTATATAGCCTGGTACTGGAAAACATTGCTGACGTGACTTCAGTATGAAAAGTGTGTCCGTGTTTTGGGAACACTGTGCATACTGAAGCCAAGTCACCCTTTGTATGGCAAGGAGCTCGGCTATCTACGATTTATTTGGAGGGGCTGCTGTAGTGCCTCTGCCACTTTTTTCTTGTCCCTACTTCAAATCAACGCTCACAGCATTTATTTGTACTCCAACCCGTGGTCGCCAGAAGGGTTCCTCTCCCTGAGGCCCCCTACTCGTGACTGACAATATTTGCGATATTCTTGTTGCGGAGGGCCTGCGTACTTCGAGCCGGACGAAAGTCGAACCACCATTTTTTGTACAACCAAAAGCGCGACGATTGACGATAGAAGTGCTAAGTAGTAAATTTGCACCTTTCTACTTCTAGTATGCATACTATTGCGGTACTGCTGTAATCTTAACCTATGCATATTTCCTTCGGTGCATGTTTTGGGCTCGGGGAATATCTCGAGCATCCGCTGCGCGACGAGCCCGTACTAGACAAGAGGGAATACCGTAAACTACACAAGATAACACCCCCCCGGTGATACATTTTTGGCTTTAAAAATGTTATCACCGGGGGTGGTATCCTGTGGGGGGTGTGGTATCTCATGTAGCCCGGGTGATAAGTGCAGCTCGCAGGGGCACCTAAGGGGGTGTGATAAACCAGGGGGTGTGATAGCACGTCCGAACACCCACAGAGTGCTTTTGGGGGTGTGATAAATGAGGGGGTGTGATAAAAGGGGGGTGTGATAGCCAGTCTGAACACCCGCAAGGTGTGTTTGAGGGGGTGATAAATGAGGGTGTGTGATAAAAAGGGTGTGTGATAGCAACTCCGAACACCCACAGGGTGTGTGTTTGGGGGGGTGATAAAAAGGGGCGGTGATAACACTGCTTGTAGAGTCGAACCGCTGCTGCCGCACACTTGAAGGGGTGCCGCACACTTGAAGTGTGGTTCTGCGGGGATGTGGTTAAACAAAGGGGCTCAACGGAGGTGACGAAACTCCTGAGCACGTGATCTCGGTGATGACTCAACCCCCTCAACACCGAAGAAAGTTTCAAACAAAATAACGTCAGCAACCATCACGGCTTGATGGAGCATGAAAAATGAAAATTAAATCGAAGGTACCTTGTCCGATATGATGGGAGGTACATGCGGCAGCATTCTGCGGACCCTGCACATTCATGTTGTTGGAGGGCTCCATGCGGGGTGATTCCCCGCACGCAAGTGTTGTGTGTGTGTGTGACAGCATTGTGCGATGCCCACGGGGCAGATGATGTATCACCCCGGTGATAGAAGGAGGGGCCCCGTGAATGTATGCGGCGTAACCACGGGGTGTGTTATCTTATGTAGCCCGGGTGATAAATCGATGGTTTGTCAGAAATGCCGAAAATTACCACCGGGGTGTCGTATTCTGTGGGGGGTGTGGTATGTGGGTGTGTTATCTTGTGTAGTTTACGGTAGTCATGCATCAGTATTCATGCACGAAGTCTCGCAAGGATGCAAATGCGGTGATACGTATAGTCTTTTTCGCGAGCACGGATGGTACCACAAATTTTAGGGTAAACAGGGTGTGCGAGCGCACGCGGGTGCCTATTCCTCTGAACAATCCGCAGTTACAGTAACAACGTCGAAGATGACTACAAGAAATCAACGAAACAGCAGTGATGTTGGTACCATCTGGAGCCCCGAAAACCTCCACACGTCTCACCAGAAGACTCCAAAGAGGGATCTTCGTCAGACTTCAGTGCAGCATGCACTGCTGCCGTACATCGATGCATATGCATACATACAATACATACATCCAGTCAGTTTTGGCCAGCAGTTATTGTATGGTAGACTACAATTGTTCCTGCCTAAATATTAAACTGGCGGGACTGTCAGGTCGTGATTTCTTTGTCGTGTTTCTCGGTGCTTCATGTTTAGTGTCTCCAACTGCTGTGTTGTTCGAGAAAGATATGTGTTACAGCCCAGCTGCTTTGTGACCTGGCAAATAGGAGCCGTTCAGGCCGTCTGCCCTTCACTCATGGCACCAGCAGAAGTGCATAGCTTCCGAATACACATGTCCTACTCGGAACGAGAGGTGCATGCTAAATTGCGGGAATGTTGACTTTGATACCTTCTGTGTCGTCACCATGCTCAACCGACGCCGCAGATACGAGCAGACTCGCCAGTGCGCTGACTGATAGTCCAGCCATACCCTGGTTATAGGTAGCACGTGGTCCTCGCCTAGACGCGTGGTGTAGTCCACCAGACCACAGCAACTGCAACACTCACACTGCAACGACAGACAGAACAAAAGCACCTAGGGTACAGGGTACGTCGCCGGGGCACCGCTGAAAAAGATGAGGAGAAAAGAGGCACCCTGCATTGGTTCTTGCTTGTTGACGCGGAGCCTCTGGCCTGGTCGGCGCGCCACGCACAGCACGTGCAGTGTGGTGAGTTGTCGGAAGGGTTGAAACCTGCTGAACCAGCCACCTACCTCATCATTTTCTCTTCTGGTGTGCTTGGGTGCTCTCGTGCTGCGGTGTCATGTCTAACGTGCGGCAAAGAAAATTGAGAGTCGAGTCCTCCGACGACGAGGATGAGACTTCGCCACGGGGGAAATCGGCGGGCGGGACGTTCTCCTCTGCCTCTACTGCACGGAATACCCAAACCAACGTCTCTGCCGCCGAGTCTCGGTTACGCAAAGTTATCGTGCGCAGCGTGGTGGGTTTCTTCATGGTGACGAGCTTCGTGGGGATCGTGTGGGCCGGGCACCTCTACCTGAGCGCTCTCGTGGTCCTGATACAGGTGGGTGCAAGCGGTTGCTACTTCAGTTGCAATACAATATTGGAATGGGTGTACTTCAGGCCAGGCAAATGTTCAGGCAGCGGGCCGAATGGAATGCATGTCTGCCTCTTAGAAGGTAGGTTCTTGTGGATACCATTGGGGCAGGGGCAGAGGCAATGGGCAATGGTCTCACAGGCGAAGTGTTCGGGGTTGTGGATCCGTCATGCGATGGTGGCGGCCAGAATGATTACCGCTGCCTGTGGCACGTAACGGGGCCTGTTATTCCAGCACCAAGAACGTGCCCTATGGTTGAGTGTGCTCGATCTATGACAGACTCTGTTGTCGCCTAAAGTAGCACAAAGGACATCCACAGGTATACAGGTAGAAAGAAAGACACAGGCACTACGTGTAGCATACCGCCATGAAATAGCAAGTGAAAATCACGCTGTCTTGTCTAGGAAAAGATACGAAAGCCTCTTATGCAGTCAGCAACGCTCAGTTTTCTCCTAGGGAAGGAGTGTGTTCGTTGTTGCGACACGTGTCGTCGTGGCTCAAGCTAGCGCTTTTAACGATGGTGTTGTGTGTCTCGCGATTGTTTGCATCGGGAGTACGGGACAAGCTAAGCGTTTCGTCTCTTCTGGGCCGATTTGAAGGACCTTCCACACAACTCCGCCGCGTGCCCCCCCGCTCGGCGCGAGTTCCGTGCACGTCTTTGTTCCGCTGCGATTCCATCTCAGTTGACTTCCAATATGCTGCCTACAGATAGAGGCCTGGCACCCAACGGGATTGTCCTGTTGATCTTGCGAGTTGGTCGAACCCGTTCCTTCCTTCGCGTATGTCTGCATGATCTTGCAGGACCCGCTCCTTGGCATAAATGGACCGCACCGTCGCAGTTGTTACCGTAGTCGTGCTGGCCGATGGTCTCACTCCGTCTCTGTGCTTGAGTCAACAAATGCACTCGCACGTAAGGACACAAACGCCTAAACCTAGTGTTCGTCCTGGCCTCAGGGTGAACTGCATGTGCCCAAAAGCTTCAGGCTAACCGAACCCTCCGGCCGCCTGTGTGTCCTCCCGTGTGTCGTGTGCCCCGTTCCCTGCCCTCTCCCTCCCGTGCCGCTCGCCCTGCGCGCGCGTTTCGTGTGCGTTTCCTCTTTCGTTGGCTTCTCTTTCTCCCCGCTCTGTGTTCATGCTCTCCTTCCCGTGTCTTTTTCGCCTTCCCCACAATCGCACCGCAAACGAAAATCACCCCCCCCCTTCCCCCCCCCCCCCATCCTAACGGCCACAAAAACAAACGAGAAAGGCGTGCGTTTTCAAAGAGATGGTCAGCGTGCGCTACAGCGCGGCTAAGGAGCGAGACATGCCTCTCTTCCGCACCCTGCAGTGGTCCTGGTTCGTGGTGGCCATCTTCTATACCTACGGGGACTTCCTGCACGAGTTCGTGCTCAAGCACAGGGCCCTGCTGTGGCTCAGCCACATCACGATGTTCAACGCGTGGCTCTCCTTCACCGCCTACTGCTGCGTGTTCGTCGTTTCGGTGCTTACTCTCAAGAAGGGTCTGTACAAGTATCAGGTGATGAAGAACGCGAATTTGTTGGTTGTTGCTGTTGTTTGCTTCACGGCTCACTCCTCTCTGACACCCTACTACGCGCCTTGAAATCTCTCGTGTTCTCGTGCTCAAAAGGTTTAGATGAGCGAGTGTGGTCGGTAGTCTTAGGGACGATACATTAATGTTGTTGTGTCATAACCCCCACAAAGTCCGTGCACTATCGGTCTCCGACGGGTGTTCAAATTTGAGTATCAGCACTGCGTTTTGGGAACGCATTTGTGGAGAGTGAGAGGCGGACAGGAGATAAGCTCGGGGGCTTTTCTGTCCGTTCTGCGACTCGTTTCGCTCTTGTGGGGGCGTCGTGTGTCTAGCTGCCGAGGGTCGTTGTCGGTATCATCCCTGTTTTTCCGACCGTCAGTTGCATTTTGTTTGTCTGTGTTGCATCAGTCGATCATGCCCGGAAAGAAGAGCCCTTTCGGTGGACTGTACTTGTAGCAAACACTGAAAGTGCCACGGAAATAGAAAGTTGCCGGGAAAAGTTGACATGTCGGAGGCGACCGCCGCCTCTTCCTGTGCATCCTGTGTTCTGGAATGTCTACTCTGCTAATTGGTGAATCGTTGTTGCGGGATGTCCGCGTGTCAAACTGATACCTGGTCATTAAGTAGCTTGTAGGCTTGCAGTTTGATACCTCCCTGTTGCTCTTACCAACGGTGCCTTCTGGTACACAATGGCCTCGGTAGGTGTATGATGACTGACTTGTTTTTTCCCGTGCTCAATCACTTTTTTCGATTAGGGATCCGTCCTCGCCGTACCCATTGCTGTTTCGACCTTGCGCAGTCGTTATAGTCGCCGGTGTTTGTTATGTCTTTGTGTTAATCGGTGCTTGTTATATGTGTGTTGTTTCCTGATCGTTTCCGTTGCTCCACATCGTCGCACATCAATATATTGCCAGGTTGGGCAGTTAACGTGGACGATTGTGACGATCTGCATGATCGTTGCCCAGGTGAAGTTCGTGGCGCACAATATTTTCAACGGCATATTTTGGTTTTTCTTTCCCGCGAGCCTCGTCATCTGCAACGACATCACCGCGTACTTTTGGTGAGCCGCCTCGTTAAAAAGACAACTATGAGCACTTACAATACGAGAAACGAAGGCCGTTGTCCTGCTGCGAGAGAGTTCGCTCCTTGCGTTTTGGTTGTTGCGGTCTTTATGAGCCGATTCGAAGACGGAATGGGCCACTTCAAGAATAGTCTGGAGAAGTTTTTGCAAAAAGGGCATGTCGAATGGTAGCAACGTCAACCGTGTCTGAGTTTTTTGTCCAAGCGAGTCTTGTTATGTGGCAAACAATTTGGGAGGCGATGCACAATCGACTTACACGGTTGCCCATTCATCTCATCAAATCCAACTTTATCGACCATTGCGGCTGCACCGGTGGCCACATATGATACCCGAAAGGAGTCATCAGCGCTTGAGGGATTGATGTTACCTGGTGTGTAGTCACCGTCACCCCCTTTCCCCCCCTCTCCGGATGGTGCTGTCTTGCGGTTGGAGGTCTACGCACATGTGGGTACCGTACCGCGTGCTCCTTGTGTCCTGCTTTTGGTCTCACCTCCTCCTCGCTCTCTGCCGCTCTCTCCCCGCAATATGTGGTCCGTGCGCGTAGCGGAATTACCGCCGGTCGCAAGCTGATCAAGAAACCTTTCCTCAAGATTTCTCCCAACAAGGTCAGATTTTCGTTGACATACCTTTGCAATTATTGCGTAAACAAGGCTCGTTCATCAACAATGTCTCGCGTAAACGAAAATGTTGTCCCTCTTAGTCGCGTTTGTCTTCTTCAATTTTGTTTCCCGCCGCCCTTTGCACCAGCCCCGCTGTAGTGCAGCTTGTAGCGGCGCATCGTCGGAGTGTGCTACTTTTCGGTGCGTCTCTGTACTCGCCACATCTGTCTGTGTAGTGCTTCTGGCAAATGAAACGTTTCCCTGGTATTTTTTGTTTGTAGTTTGTGCTCATTCGTCTTTGGTTGTTTGTTCCTTCCTTTGTTTTGCTCCGTTGTTTCCTCTCGTGTGAACCAAGACATGGGAAGGATTTATGGGGGCCTTTTTCTTCACTTGCCTTTTCGCCTTCTACTTCTCGGCCTTCCTGGCCAAGTTCGAGTGGTTCACCTGCCCGGTGCAGGACCTTAACTTTAGACCGAAACCGATCCACTGCAACCCCGATGCAGTTTTCCTTCCAGCGGAGTTTGTCGTGGTGAGAGAACCCAGGAACGCGTACCAACACCGGCGACTGTAATATTTTTATCTGGCGTAGTGCAACGGTTGGTTTCTGTTGGTGATGACGCCAACAACAGGTGATACACCGTCGGGACCCGTTCGTGGCCTTTCGCATCCGCAATAAGCCTTCCACACACCTCCCTACCAACCACCGTTTGTCTGTGCTCTTTTTGGCCTCGCCCTTCCCCCACACTTTCCCACACAAAACAAAATCAAATACAGCCCGAGAGCGTCCGATGGTTCATGGAGGCGTTTCTCTTCTTCCGGCTCCCGGTGGCTTCTCTCAGCGTGACCTTGGCCCCCATCCAGCTCCACGCTCTGCTCATGGCAGGCTTCACGTCGGTCATCGCGCCTTTCGGCGGCTACTGGGCTTCCGCAATAAAGCGCGCGTACGGCATCAAAGACTTCGACTCGATTATTCCCGGACATGGTGGGGTAACGGACCGGATGGACTGTCAGTTCATCACGGCCCTGTTCGTGTCGGTGCACTACAACACCTTCATAAGGTGGGGTGGGGTGAGGTGGGGTGTGGTGGTGTACGGAAACAACCGAAGATCTGATTGCATCAACTGCTGTCTGTAATAGATGAACGTCGCTGATGCCTTCGGTGTCAATGCTTTTTGTCGGTCGAGTGATCTACCGCGTTTTCTTCGGCAACCAGAGAGTAGGGTGAAGGCTGCCTTGCCACGTATATTGTACTTTCATTTTGTTTCAGCGCCCAAGTGGACGGCTCCGCCTGGCCTGCAGGTGCGATCTATAAATCCTGTTTCAAGCTACCGGCGTGGATGTGGGCCGTAAAGTTAGAGACGCTTGGTCTTTTTTGGACGGCCAAGGCGACCATCTATTCTAACCACTGCCTCGCATGTGTGTCCTCTCGTCGTCTACGAATTCAGGCCGAACATAACAACGGTAGAGGGGCTTCTTGCGGCGGCAACCATGCTTTCGCACTCTGAGCAGATGGAGCTTCTGGATGAGTTGAAGCATATGATGAACAGCACGTGATGGAATGGGAATAGTGGTAGTAGTAGACGGGGCACGGGGTAGGGTTGTCGGACTTGACGTCGGCACGTGGCACAGATCGCATGAAGGTTTGAGGTGATGTTAGTGTTCGTGTGCGCGCTCGTTCGGTGTGGCTTGCGAGCTCGGTTGCGTCGACAGATCGGTAGGTGGTCTGCGGATTGTGATTATTAAAAATGCGTCACTGGATCAAATCTGAACTTTTGTTGTATAAAATATGCTTGTACATGAATGTCGAGCATTTTCTGGTCAAACCGGAGTTGGCTCCGTGAATTTAACCTCGCTGCGGTCGGGTAGTTTGCAATGAAACAACGTGCAATATGTTTTGTACGTGGAGAGACACGTGTATGCGTCAGGCCCTTGCAGCGCGCTGCTTATCTTGTGGTTCATGAGAGGGAGTATGTATGTATTCTATGCAGTGCGAATGAGCCACGTGGCTCCACGTTCCTCTTCGTTGATGGCATTGGATCCGCCTACCCGCCCTTTAATGGGTATGAGCTTTTCCGCAATGAAGCAGGATGCTGCAGGAACAATCGATGTCGATTTACACGGAAGAGAAGTTGGCTGATTGGGATCCAGCAGGATTTAGAAAGCGGCTAACGAGCTTAAAGAGGTGTTTGGGTTGTAGATGGGGTAGGTGGTACACACTGGTATTCGACAAGGGGCAACCTCTGTAAGGTCTTGCGAGTCCGTACAGTATTTTACAACAGGGTTGTGTTATCCTATAAGTGTAATACTTTCCCTCCTATGCTTGCAAAGTTGCCCGCACAGCGAAGGATGACATCGTATTACTTGCGTCGGTATAATGGGCTCCCACGCCGCCATTATTAGGTCCCGCAGCAGTCGACACAAGCTTTTGCTTGTGTCCGGGAAGGCTCTTCCTATTTTTTTTGTAACTTGGAGGAAGAGGACCTCCGAACTTATGTTCACAAACGTCACTTCTTGTCTCATGACGCCGCGTGGCCCACCGGCACGCTTGTCTCACGGTCTCCCGATATTTGGTGTGTGTGCTCTTCTTACGAAAATAGCTGTGGGCCCTAAACCTGCATGCAGCCCCGACTTTTGCCAGAGAAACAGGCCCCAAGCTTCCGCGTCCTTGCCCGTACAACAAAGTCATCACTGATACGAAGAGCAGAAGAAAGGTTAGTTCGTCAAAATTTCAAGCCGAAGCCGTGAGGAAGGGAGAGCCCGATTACCACGCCTTTTTTCGTGGATCATAAAAATCCGTCGTGAAGTTTGTAACACCCAAATATCGGACCCACAGGAACATCGTATGCATATGCTCTCAGACCCTGTTGTTGCGGTGGTGTTTTTTCGGAGAGGCTGTCGAACTTCGGGTAATTTTTAATTGTAGTGATAATAGCAGCAGCGTGCGTTCACGCACCACCGCCCGCGGTCACACTGGAGAAAGCACACTGACTGACTGATTGACTGACGATAAAAAAAAAATAATGCTCTTTTTCCACCTCTCTCAGAAATATTTGCCGGTCGGGGCTCCGGTGCCGTGCGTTGCGCCGCGTCAAGGGAAAAAAAAGCATATACAAAATGCATAAGCATACAAGGCTTTCGGCGGCTTACGCCGCCACGCTGAGAGAAGCGTACCGCAAGACGCATGTTTCTTGGCGTCTGGTAAACGATGGTATGCGGTGGCTGTGAGATTCCCAGCAATTTGTTCCCGCAGTATGCAGATGTGAGAAATGATGTACCACATAGGGCGAAGTCACACACTGAACGTGCGTTGTGAGCAGTAGTGAGCAGAAACACGTACTTAAGCATACGGCACGACACGGCTTAACAACTAAGTCACACGGTGCACACTAAGGCAACCGTAAATTAAAGCACGGTCCACGCAACGACACGACACGGCGTAGTCAACAACACGGGCGCCACCCAACGCAAACCACACGAAACGGCATAGTCAACCACGCAAACTTCATGACAACGGCAAAGTCACACACTACATACGACACGACATGGCATAGTCATCCTGACAACACGACCACGGAAGAGTCACACACTAACGGCAGCACACATACGCACAACACGCGACGAGCCGCAAACCCAGAGACTTTGAAACCAGCAACTATCCTCGTGGGATGCATAGTGACGCATACGACACGACATGGCATAGTCATCCTGACAGCATGACCACGGAAAAGTCACACACTAACGGCAGCGCACAACGACGATCTGCTAACCCATCGCACGGACTATCTATGCCTTTTTGGCCATTAACCAGTCCTTGCTTAAAGTTAAGGTTCCTTGTTATCATTACCATACAGTTCAGCTTTAGGTTCAAGACATGAGGCGGAACGCCTGCAACGTCAATTGAGTTGAGGTCAGCAGCCATGACGAAGTCGAAGGCATCGGCATTGCAACTGTCAGGGTCGACAGTGTCGCAACTGTTCACGGTACAGAGATCACCAGACAGCAGGTGAAGGATATGTTCATTGATTGTGTCTATGGTGTCATTGGTAGAGGACAGTATTGCTCTCGACTTGAACGTGCTGGGGTCTGCATGTAGAATATCGGGGTAGACGAAGTTGATCAATTCTTCGAATGATTCCGTATTCTCAATGACAAACGGATCAGGTGGCATTGCTGGGATGTCATGAATGTATGCTAGGGCTCCGATGCCAATATCGCGTACAAAGGCGGCGTAGGGAGCATCCTCGCGATCACGTTGGGAAATGGTCAGGCGCATTCTATGGACATACGGCCACAGTGGGCTTGAAATGATGGAAGCATCAACTGTTTCTGCCTGTCCGAAAACACGGCGACGGGTCCTATTTGACGCATGTCGCCACTGAGCAAAACAGTTTTGCCGCCCATTAGCAGAGTGTTCCCCATGAGGTCCTGTAGCGTAAGGTCAAGCGTCTCGACGGAATATCGGTGGCTCATCGGAATTTCGTCCCAAACGATGAGATCACATTTCCGCAAAACTTCTGCTCGTTGCGATTCCGCGGAGATATTGCACATTGCGCCGGCGACATTTTGAACCGTTGTGTTGGGTGACGTTGTGCACGACGTGGTCGTAAACTAAAAGCTGTTCGTTGGTAAGGTTAGGTAGGTGCTGAGCAGCGAAAACACGCATCTGTTCGACGTCGAACATATGTTTAAACCGTAGGTACTCCGTGTCTAAATGAATGACTGTTGGAAGTCCGGCGATGGCGTTAGTACGTCCATGGTGCTGCAATCCAAGGTCGATTTCCCGAAGCGCTGCGTTGCTCGCTTCGATGGAGGTCATGGACATACGTAAGTCTTGGGTGAAGTCTCGTTTAAAGTGCTCCCATAGAATTCGAGCAGGTGCACCGTCAAGAATAAGGGTAACGAATAGTTGGCGCAGCTGCTTACCTGTATTGAATATTACAGCCTCTTCCAAACAAACCTTGTACTCTTCGTCATGTTTGACGATGCCCATGGCTCTAGCAGCGTCTTGGAATGTTTCATGAACGATTTCGTTGTGAGTCCTGAGTAATTCAAACGATCTTGCCGGTTTGTGGTGCAGAATTGGCGCAGATAGAAGACGTCCCCTTTATCTGGTGTAATAGCCGTAACACGCGCTACGTGCTTGTCTGAAGTGCGAGGTGTAACATAATAGCCGAATCTGTTCCTGTTTTCCGTGACTTTCGATTTTTGTTGACAATGTACTTCTCGTTGTAGTCCAGGTACGTGAGGGAATCGAAGTCGGACTCGGTAGGTCTTCCAAAGTACAGCATGAGGTCGGATTTGGTCTGTTCGGCTTCCGACTTCTGTTCGTCCCTTGTAAGAGTTTGATCGACAATGACGTGTTGTTCATCGGGAAGGTGCAAGCGAAGGGACGTGACGGAAGGGTGGCGCTCCATGATGTGGAAACCAAGTAATCGCCACGCAGCCTCTGCCGCTGACACGTATCTTGCCGATCGGTAAGCTTCAATTTCGTCACCACCACAAACAATCTTGGCCTTGATAAAGTCGGCGCCTTTCGTGATGTACTTGTAAATATACTTGACTATGGCGTTGGCGGTGCAGACGTCAAAACACATGTGACAGTTGTATTTGGAAAGGAGCCAAATGTTGTACGGTGCTATCCATTGATTGGTGGCGAATGATTCGATAAATTTGCCGTTCACTCTGTGTCTGTGTGTGTGTGTAGGGAAATATCTCTCCGGTATCTCTACGACGGTACTCGGCTCTACCGGTCTTGCCCACAGCGGTTACGTCACGCCATGGTTGGGGATAGTTTTTGCCGCACATTTTCGATCTTCCTTCATGCACGGTGATGTGGGGTTGTGACTGCCACACTGTTTGTGTACCATGAGGTTCAGCACTTGATCTCTTGATCTACCATTGTTGAGCTCTGGCGGCGGCACTTCCGCCCAACACCATTCGTCCATTTCTCCCATCTGATCGGGCAAAGGTCCCTCAAAGCGCACTACTAAATGCATATGGGGCATGCCCCTCTTCTGGAACTCTACGCAGCTCATCTCAAAGTCAATCGGTCCAAAAATCTTGCCACTCCTGAGGTCTTTCATGAGTTCAGCCATTTTAATTTTAATTTTGAAGACACGGTCGCATAAGTCTGGCCTGTCGTACGCTGTTTGACCGGGGTAACAGATTAGTTAGCTTGAATTAATTGCTTCCCAGTTACCATTGCATGTCATGGTGAGCATGGCACTAGGGCGTCCCTTACGTGATACAATAGCTAAGGCGTCGGTTTTGTGTTTGCTTTCATTTTGGCTGGATGCCCGTGAAAGGTTTTCGGGAGCGTTTTACCTATCTGAGCTTCCTGGGGCGCGTCCTCTAAAGTTTTGTACGTGGTGGCACGTTTCTGGCCTTCAGCTGAGGAATGCATGTATGTGTGTGTTGTGAGCAGACAAAGTGCTGGTGCTGGTCTGCAGAGGGAATGAGGCAGACGGAAAGCGAAGAGTCTGCAGAGGGAATGAGGCAGACGGAGCCGAGAGCAGACAGAGTGCTGGTGCTGGTCTGCAGAGGGAATGAGGCAGACGGAAAGCGAAGAGTCTGCAGAGGGAATGAGGCAGACGGAGCCGAGAGCAGACAGAGTGCTGGTGCTGGTCTGCAGAGGGAATGAGGCAGACGGAGAGCGAAGAGTCTGCAGAGGGAATGAGGCAGACGGAGAGCGAAGAGTCTGCAGAGGGAATGAGGCAGACGGAGAGCGAAGAGAAACCCGAGAGCAGACAGAGTGCTCCACACGTGATCGAGAAAAGAGTGCTGGTGCTGGTCTGCAGAGGGAATGAGGCAGACGGAGAGCGAAGAGTCTGCAGAGGGAATGAGGCAGACGGAGAGCGAAGAGAAACCCGAGAGCAGACAGAGTGCTCCACACGTGATCGAGAAAAGGCGGAGCGGCGGCGGAGCGGAAACATGCCCAGAAGCAATGAGGTGCTGCAGACAGACGGAGAGGGCAGAGAACGAACCGAGAGCAGACAGAGTGCTGGTGCTGGTCTGCAGAGGGAATGAGGCAGACGGAGA